ATGAACTAAGGCTTTTTTGACTCCACATAGATAACTGCTACCAATAAATAATAAGAAACGTAATTTTTTTTAAATTTCTTTTGATTGGTCATCTACAAACTTATTTAAAATTCAATATGATTCAATAAGAACTCTGAAGTTGTTATAACAAATGCTGAAGTTAGTTCATCATTGTCAACATATATGTCGTCTTTTTCACCTCGAAATCAATGCGAACTGATAGGTCTCACGATGGATGTGAACAGTGGATGCTTACTCCTCCTTGGCACCTGATCCCACCTCATGTTTCCAGAGATCCGTGATTTCCCATTTTATAGAGGAATGTGAAATAAAATTAAAGATAACTTTTGTTAAAATGTTTCTGATACACTTATGAGGCCAACCTAGCGTGCTTCTTTTCCGGTCAGGGAGGGCATAACTTTATCGTTGATGTTGTGGGTATACCATTGTTGTGTAGACCACTGTGGACAATATCTACCAACACGTAAAGTTGTAAAATTCTTTCGACGATAAAACTTGCGATATGAAGACTACAAACAAGACTTTTGACAATCCTTGTTTCATCAACGTGTTGGTTAATGCGTTGCCTCGTTTTGAAAATTGATCATACGTAGAGCGTGTATGACCTTTCGACAGATGCTCACTCCTCCATGACACCTGATCCCACCTTTGATGTTTTAGAGGTCTGTGCTTGGTCTGTTCCTGATTTGTATTGTTTACATGGACTTTGAGCATAATACACTTCGTTATCTCCAGATTTCATGCTCTTGCATATCGAATCATTTGGGAGATATAAACATCATATGCAGGTGATAAGAGTTTATATTGGTACATAAGTATGGAAAGTTTTCTTGTTAGTTTAAGTCTAGTAAAATTTTCAAATATGAAACAGATGTGTCGAACTTTTTTATTTCAAGTTCGGTGGAATATATAATAACGTATAGACATACGAATAAGAAGTAACAATTGTTTAATTGTTTATTAATAATGCGTCAGTGTGTTTTAGACAATATGCAGTTGTGACATTACTTTTTACTTTCGGATAAACCCTTTTACAATGGAGAAATAGAGAATACAAATGGAAAATTATAGATTACAAAATGGCAACTTAAACATTGAATACAAATGATAAATAATGCAATGCAATTGTAAAACATACAATTGTACGATTTTAGATGGGAAACTATACAATACGAATGTTACAATGTTTGACGTACGTGTCATAAGAAACGCAACTCGTAGTCTTTCTAATGAGAAAGAACAGAAAAGAACGTGGACTTTAAATGCCGGGGTCCATCTTTGTAAGAGGGAATAAGGTGTAGTTTTTCTAACCTTTTAAAGAAACTGGAATCCCTGTATATATACTGAACATCATGAAAATACAGATTCTGTCTGGCTGAACATATTTTAAAATTTTTATTCGTTCCTTTTCTTAGATAAAATTTTTAAATGCGTACCTGCTCCACATATCATTAAATGCCTTCATTTAGATATCGATTCCCTGAACTAACAGTTAAAGACAGGTTCCCATGGAAACCAAATGATTCCGAGCTTCCTTACTATTTTACGTAATGCATGTTTTCTTGTAGGTAAATGTATAAATCTAATTTGCAGCCAGTAATGCCTTTTTATTTAATCCATTGTTCTTTGAAAAATTCCAGACAGTAAGCTTTGAATATTTCAGGATGTTATGGAATTGGATTTACTAGAGAAGGTTTAAAGTCTGAAATGGTGCAATAACACATGCAAACTCATTCTTGGCCAACTACTGTATAGTGGCCTGTTATTTTCTCGATGATATTATATTTTCAAAAATAATAATTGAGAGAAACTCTTAAACTTTCAAAACCGTTCCTTCGATATTTTAAATTCACACCGCCAAAATATGGATGAAATATTGCCGACTCGGCATGTAATATATAATTTTTCTGCTATATGCAATCATCCCCTAACGATAAATTAAAGAACAGGCATTTTGACACAGATAACTGCTTTCTCAATAAAAATGGAACATATATTTTATTTTCATGCCTTGTGATAGGACCTTCAAAATTTCGTTGATAATTATTACTATATAGTATTTGAAGACTTCTGTACTATTTTGTAATGTCTGGTAAAGCTGTTCACCTTCTTTCATTCAGTTTGTACGAATAGCTAACACCCTCTTCGTTTTATGCCCCCGTAATCGAAGATTCGGGGGTATATAGTTTTTGTCGTGTCCGTCTATCTGTCTGTCTCTCTGTTTGTCCGCAAAAACTTTAACCTTGCCCATAACTTTTGATATAGTGGAGCTATGACTTTCATATTTCACATGTGTATTCCTTGTGACAAGACCTTTCTTTGGGTACCACCAAATTTGACATGTAGACCTTGACCTTGTAGTTTGACCCACCTTACACAAAAATTCCAAACTTTTACTTGGCCATAACTTTTGAACGGCAGATACAAGGACTTTCATATTTCACTTTTATATTCTTTGTGGCAAGACCTTTTATTGAATACCTACAACCTTGATCTTGGAGATCTCCGTACTTATGAAAAAAACTTTAATCTTGGCCACAATTTTGGAACGTTAAGGACTAGGGCTTTCATACTTCATATATGTAATCCATGTGAGAAGATCCTTCATTGGATACCAAGAACTTTTACCCTTTGGCATCGGAGTTTGACCTAGTTTAAAAAAAAACAAACCTTGACCATAACTTTTAAAGGGTAAGGACTAGTGCTTTAATACTTTATATACTAGTATTTAATCCTTTTGACAAGACCTTTCATTTGATATCAAGAACTTTGACCTTGGAGCTTGACCTCCTTTTTAAAATTTTTAACCTTGGCCATGACTTTTGAATGGTTAGGGCTATGACTTTCATATTTCATAATTGTATTTCTTGTAAGAAGACCTTACTTTTGATGACAATATATTTAATTTACATTTTAGAAAAGTTTAATATCTGCTATTTTGCCATACGGGTTTATCAGTGTTTCACAAACACATCTTGTTTCCCCCTAAACGTTTTATTATTCGATATCTAGTCCACTAGAAAACACAAGAGGCCCATGGACCATATCGCTCACCTGATCACTTTTGCTAGTACAATATTTTATGAGTGTTATCAACCATCCCTTAAGGAAGGGGACATGGCTGATTTGAACAAACTTGCTACACTAACTAACTGTGTTACCATACTTCTTTAACAAATCATGGCTTTAGAAGTTAAAAAAAATCCTATAAGTTTAACCTTCTATTGTGGCCCCATCCTACCCCTGGGGATCATGATTTGAACAAACTAGAATCTTCACTGCCTGAGGGGGCTTCCCTATTAATATGCCAAACATGGCTGTGTTGTTGAGAAGAATATTTTCAAGATTTTTCCTATGTAAATAATTCCTATGGAAAATGTGATGGTACACTGTGGCCCCGCCCTACCACGGGGGTCATGATTTGAACAAATTTGAATCTACACAACCTGAGACTGTTTCCACATAATTTTATTTTTCCTGACCCAGTTGTTTGGGAGAAAATGGTCTTTCGAATGTATTTTTATGTAACATTTTGATGATCCATTGTGGCCCCAACCTACCCCTGGGGGTCATGATTTGAAAAAACTTGAATCTACAATACTTAAGGATGTTTCCATATAAATATGACTAATCATGGCTTTTCTATTCTTTAGACAAAGATTTTTCCTATGTATTCCTATGGAAATCTTTGATTATCCATTGTGACCATGCCCTACCAAAGGGGGTCGTGATTTGAATGAACTTGAATCTACATACCTTGTGATACTTCCATATAGATATGACCAATCCTGTCTCAGTGGTTCTTGAGAATAAGACTTTAAAGATTATTCTTATTTAAATCTTTGATCATCCATTGTGGCCCCATCCTACCGAAGAGGTCATGATGTGAATCAACATTACCATTTGATGTTTCTGTATGTTAAATATGACTAATCAATAATCATGGCTTTGCTGTTCTGGAGATTTTTCCTATGCTAAACTTTGATCATCCAATGTGACTGCGCCTTACCCCGGGGTCATAATCTGAATGTACACACCTGTTGAAGACAAGCTTCCACAAACGTTTCACTTTTCCTGGCCCAGAGGTTCTGGAGAGAATTTATAAAGATTTTTCCTTTGTAAAACTTTGATGAAAATTCCTGCCCTGCGCTACCACTTAGGGTCATAATTTGAACAAACTTGAATCTACAAAAACTGAAGTTTCATCTTTCTTGGTCCAGTGGTTGAAAAGATTTTAAGATATATGTACCATTATTTTTTCACTATTTTGTAATTATTTCCCTTGAAAGACGGTGCAGCCTTCGTTTTAATAAACTTGAGCCCTCTTCAACCAAGGATGCTTCATAAAAAGTTTGGTTGAAATTAGCCCAGTGGTTCAGTAGATGAAGTCGAAAATGTGAAAAGTTTACAGCTGGACGGACTAACAGACAGCAAACAAAATGTGACTGGAAAAGCTCACTTGAGCTTTCAGCTCACGTGAGCCGAAAATGAACATTCATAGCCATTTTCTCTAACTAATAGTTTTGGTCAGTATATCCAGAACTGGTAAAATATTTTTACCAAGTACTGGTAACTGGTGGACTAGTGAAATACTCTGGGGAAAAAGTATATTTCAGTCCATAAATACTAGCCGGTGCGACATTGAATTTTGAAGAAAATGTCATACAGTTTGCATGTATGTTGTGAAGCATCCCTCTCCAGAATTTTCCACTCATAGAGACGCCACCACTTGTCGTTGGAGAACTGCAAATTCTGTCTTATACTAGGCACTTACTGCCACTGAGCAGCGAGGAATCTTTTTCCATGGCAATATTGGGCCTCGGTTTAACACGGTCTCATCAAAACGACCAGTCTCCATCTCCCAAAGTTGGATTCGAACCTGCAGCACAAGGATTAACTCCTTACTTAGCAACTCAAGAGCAGATGCTCAACCACTGTGAACCGGGGGGTGACAATGTCAAAGAGTAAAACTAAAAGTATTAAGAAAAGAAATTTTATTTCCGAATATTTCACCTCTGATACAGATCTTCCAGAATGTAATCCACGACAACAACCTTTTTCAAAACTAATATCAAATGAAATATCTAACTTATAAAAAGACCATTAAATGTAAACAAAAAAGATCACATGATTAGTCTCTGAATCTTAAAAAGTACATAAAAGCTAGTGAATGTTTATGTGATTACAATAGGTCTAAATCTGCAGAAATAAGCACTTGTTTTAGCACTGTCACAGTTAGGTAGTGTTCAGTATGCTCTCATCATAAGAGTGGCTGATTACTAAGAATTTTTCTTGAAATAATATATATTTATAGCTGGCCACAATTTTCAATTGTAACTTTCTGTGATGTTTTTCCACTCTGGGATCCTAATCCTTCCATCTTCTTGACGACATCCATGCCCTCGACGACCTGTCCGAACACAACATGTTTACCATCTAGCCAAGTGGTCTTCTCCGTACAGATAAAGAACTGACTGCCATTGGTGTTGGGGCCTGCATTGGCCATGGATAAAATACCTGTAACAAACAAAAACGGGATCAGGGGAACTGTGAATAAAGCTTTTATAAACTACCAAATAGTTGCAAAACAAAACAGAAATTAGAGATTAAACATTTCCTAGATCTGCATCTCCTCTATAAGTAAATTAGTGTTGGTTTAAGGAATCACTGTCTAGTTAGCATAGTATGCCAGGGCATCAACAATAGTGGGAAACATGGGATAATTTGCATAACGGGCGAAGCCCGTTATACATAAATTATCCCATGTTTCCCACTATTGTTGATGTCCCTGGCATACTATGCTAACTAGACAGTGAATTTCTTTCATTGTAAAATAAAATTGTAGAGTTAGACTTTAAAAATGTAGCCATAGATTTAAATTACACGAGGACTCTCATGCCAATTTCAATAGTCCTCGCCCACTGACGTCAAACACAAAGGCAGCCGCACGAGATTTTTATGCATATTTTGCCTCCTTAGCGTCAGACTTAAATTTGCATGCATATTTCCTTAGCTCCTGACCTATTGACCTGCCTAATTTACATTCCGGTAGAATTATCAAGAAATTAACTCCGCTTACTTTTAAAGGGTTATCACAGAGAGAAAAATTAAAAATGGAAATATTGCAATTTTAAAGCGTGTCAGCTCATCTATCATGAAACTTGAATTGATATGTCATTCTTTGCCAAACCTCTTGTTTTTTAAAAGTTTTGTCCTAGAAACAATTTAGGAGGGGCCAACATCAGTAAACATACGTCTATTCTCATGAATTCTTCACACTTTCCATCTTTTGAGATTAAAATTTTACCACCACGGATGCATAGATAGTAAATTATATACCTGGTCCTGTGTGCTTCAGCTGGAAGTTCTCATCTTCAAACTTGTTTCCATAGATACTTTTTCCTCCAGTGCCATTGTGTGCTGTGAAGTCTCCCCCTTGACACATGAAACCAGGGATTATTCTGTGGAACGTAGATCCCTTGTAGCCAAAGCCCTTTTCACCTTTAAAACAAGTAAAAGTGACATTTTGAATCCATTCAAAATTCATTTTATTTTACAAGTATCATAAAGTTTATTGGATTGCAAAAAGGTATTTCAATATTATATCTATACTGGATTTACAAAGCAAAAGGCCCAAAAAGACTTTTAATTCCTGGTTTAGACTTTTGTCTCACAGTCTGTAAAAATACTTGACCCATGTCTCTCCCATTTGTTGGGTTTGATGATCAACACCCCCCTTCTTTATCTGCCTGTTGCTTTATATAATTTTTTACAGCTGATTTTTATGAAAATGGTGACACCCTCCTCACTTTTTGTCAAATTCTGGCACCAGGCACAGTAATGCATTTTGATATTTTTCTCATCCTAAGAGTTGTTCCCCCTTTTAAAATGTTTCTTGATACCATATAATCCCTATCAACTGCTCCGGGCCATAGAAAACTGAGAAGGGGGTTGTTATTTTGGTATTCTTTTAAAAATATTTAAAGGCCGAGATTTTTAACCGTACTGTTTTCTCAGGTAAGGGAAGGGACTTAATTTCACATGCTTGGCACCCCCGAGGCATTGACATCATGCAGACCACGGAGAACACTAATCCCTATACACAAACAGTATACACAGGAAGTCTATGAGTATTTACCTGTACAGCTTGTTTGGCCTACATTTCACAAAAAAATTAGTAGATCTCGACATCAAAATACATTAGAAAATATCAGTAGTAGTAAATGATATCTGTAAAATATTATAATTCCATACATAACTTATTTCAAACAAGCAGAAATCTCACCGGCCGACTTTTGTTAAAATCTACGGTATCATCTAGTATGTAACTTACCAGTGTATGCCACAGCAGAAATTAGTTGAGTTTATTGTTAAAAAATAATACAGCTACATTATCAAAAGTGAAATATCCTTGCCTGTCCTTAGCAAATTTTTAGCAATTAGAACTTCGGCCAATAGTAACAGTTACTTCCCGTTTGTATGAAAAGTAGCATGGTCCTATTATTAGCAAATGTGTCCTATTGTGAAAATTCACGATAACGATGGTTTCGTAGAGTTAAAGTTATATATGTGTGTGTATTTTAATTCAATTCTGATTATATTAAAACAACTACTTAAAACCAGTATTAATTTTATTGCTAACCTATGCATTTCTTTCAAAACTATTTTAATACATTTGGCCTAGAACGCATGTAACAATCCACGTGGCAAGAAATGCTCGGTTCAAAAAAGGAGAAGAAAAGAAAGAAAGAAACCCTTAATAGTAAATACTTGTCCAGGCGAAGTTGTAACTAATCAGATATTTTGCTTTCATCCTTACTATCCATTACATGCAAAAAATATTCCAGCTTATTTTTCTCCTTTATTTTCATCGCAAAACAAGTATCTTTTTATGAGTGATAACAAGATTTCAGTCTCTTAAAAAATTCACTTTTCTTGAAAAAAAAATAAACAATAGTGATTAATTTTATTGAAACATTATAAAATAATTTAATTTTGGTTGTAACGCTGTATTTGATTGGATAAAAAATTATTTCATATCGTATAAAATGGGTTGCCTATGTCACAATGACTTGCGTCAAAAACGTATCAATCCGCCTGACGTTACATTCAAATTTTGTACAAACTGAAGTCACTTTGTTAGAACAAAAAATGAATTTGATAGCTACCCATTTTTACGATAAACTGGGTTAATTTATTGCCCCAACCCAGTTTACACCGTATAAAATGGGTAGCTATTAAATTCATTCCTTAAATAAAGAACTATATGCGGTATTAACCAACATTTGCCCCCCAAAATCAAACTTTGATGGAGTAATATTTAATTAAGTCCTTAAACAGGGGAGTATATGCTTTCAAAGCACTGAATAATTTCATAAGTAATGAATATGTACGTAATGACGTCACAAATATGACGTAAATTTCAGTTTTTTATGAATTTTGCAGAAAAATGTACATATTTCGTCGATATTTTAAATAAAAGTCACCGAGCGCATGTGTGCTCAGGATTAAAATTTTGATATAATGTGTAGAATGATAATATCAATGAAATATGTCAATATTGTTCCTGAACACACATGCGCTCTATAAATTCTAAAGCTTAAATTGTTGAAATTTTGTCCATTTTGTCCTCTTTCTGAAAAAGGATATAAAATCGGACTAGTTTGTGACGTCATAAAAACAGAAATTGTGAATACACTGCTCTGGAACTATTATATTTTCTGTTAACTTATATTTCTCGTACAATTTATTGAATTCAGCACATTTCAGGAAGTTTTCAAAATTTGACTTTTGTGGGGGCAAACATATGCAATATACCACATATAGTTCTTTCATTTTTCAATGGCATGTTTATAATACAATTAATTATAAGCAATTATAATCAAGCTAAATTTGTTTGCATTGAATGGCTTCCTTATTGTGCCAGTCTGATAATTTAGTGTTAAACATCAGAAGACCGAAAGTTAATTTGATGGTGAACACGAGTGTTAAACAAGGTGTGTGAGTTATACACAGGAATTAGTAGCAAAATGTCAATCAATTTCAAGTACCCAATGATAGACCTTAATTCACTTGACTGACGGGGGAATGCAGACCAGGTAAATCTTAGGGCGGTGCTTATTATCTCGGGCTTTAATGTCATATTTTAACTACAAGAAATCTTTTGAAAAAAAATTCGGAAAACCACAAAAAGATTGTCTAACCTTCTTTCAGTTTAAGATTCAATTTTCCACCGAGAAATTTGAGAAAAGACAAAGAAAACAAATTTGTAGGTAACTTTCACATTCAGAAATACATAATGATTAGGACATTCTGAAAATCTTTCACTTCCAGGAATACTTTACGTACACGTTACGAGGGTTTGCATTTTTTCTGCAACACATTCGACATTAATTTCTGTACTAACAACCAATAATTTTCAGACTTAATGGGAGTCAATGGGACATATGATCATCCTCCTTATTTGAGAAATTGCTTCAATTTTTAAAAATTTTGGTGCACTCATAATTGAATATTTATACATCCACTGGATATTTTCTCCTTTAATTCTTGAGAAAACCAGTCATTCAGTTCCTGAACAGTAGTAGACATATCACCTGTACAGTTTCCTTGATCAGTGACTATTCCATCAATGAAACACACTATTACGTACAATAGATAATGAAAGAATTTATCTTTATAATTCTACTTTAAATAATTATTTTTACAGATATAATTTTAAACAATAAAATGTCTTTCTTTGGTTGTTAGTACGGGAAATAAAGTTCAGCTTATGCTGGTGTTGCATTTTTTTCTGCAACAGCTGTGACATTAATTTTCATATTAACAACCAAGGAAAGCATTTTATCAGAGTTCCCGAAACTAGTCAAATATCTGTCGGACAATTGTCCTGTAAATTTTTAAAATTCACTGGACAAATGTAAAATTTACCGGACATTGATTTTTTAGATAAAATAAAATCCACTTAAAAGTAATGCAAACAGTTAAAAAAATTCTTTAATTTATTCCTTTTCTCTCTCTCTTTTTCCCATTCAGTTTGTCCTACCAGTTTGCCACTGTAGTCCATGATCAGGAAGACCTTAGGACATCTAAATGAAAAGTTAGCAAATACGTTTTTTTTTTTTTATTAATTCATTAAAATATTTTCTATTAGGCCTATGTATCTGGGGTTAGACGTCGCTGACGGTGTATGATGACCAGGGCTTCATCATATAAAAATTATGTCCTTTCTGACATATTTTATTTTCAAAATAAAATCTGCAACATGACGTCTTTTGTTTGATTGTTTTACTTAAGAATGTATTATACAGAAATATGTACTAATAATATAAAAATATGCAAATTAATCATGAAAATGATGATTTTAAGTGACATTTTTGTCGTTTTATTACATGAAGTCAGCTAGTCAGCTTTTTTTAGAAACGGGGAAAAACGCGCTTGTATAAAATGCTAACAAATGCATGGGGAAAAAAATCCAAAAATTAGTTTTACATTTATAATTCTAATGAATTAATTTACAGAGAAAATAAAAATGGTAAGAAATTGTCTATAATCAAGCAGAAATAGCTGGCAACTTGGCTTGATCTTAACCATGTTAACCCTGCAAAGTTCGTCCTGCAAAACGAAAGTAAATTGCCACATTTTTTACTGTCAGAACTACAGAGTGTATATTAAGAAGGAAAAATATTTGTTTGACAGGTTTTTTTCCAGACTTATGGAGAATATTATTTTATTATGTAGCCTTTTATAGTAGACATACACCGTCTACATTTAAACAAGAATGCACGAGAATAATCTGGCGCACCACTGACGTTTTTTTTTTTTTTTGAAATTTCTTTGGCTTTGCACGCTGATTGAATCTTGAATTAAATGATTTTGTTAAAATTATGTGTCATTGTTATAGAGTCTGTAAAAAAAACCGTCGGACATTTTGACCGATAAAATTTAAATTTTACCGGTCCCATTCAAAATTTACCGGGGATCCCCGGTGGACCGGTGCGTTTCGGGAACTCTGATTTTATTGCTTATTTTAGAGAAGATATAACTTTATTTTGTGAAATGTAAATAGAATATATTTTGAACATTAGTTTCATGTCAAATTTAAGAATGAAGTAAATCAGTCTTACTTAATACTTGTAATTGAAAGCAGAAGCCTCTGGCAACACTGTTTACTGTAACTATTTCTGTCTTTCCTACCCATGCCCTTTTCCCATGCCATACTATACAACACCCCCCCCCCCCTCCCCCAAATCGAAAGCGGAAGCATAAAACAAATACGTTTATTTTCATAATTGTCATTAAACCTCATTTATTAAAATTTGGTTTAATTTATTAAGCTTGTTGTTCGATAAAATTGTTTACATGCAATGTTTAAATATTACCATGCCACCTTCCCGCCATACTACTAAACAAAAGGCACATGGCGGAGCGGCGTGCATAATGAAATGTACCTGTACATAGAGCACGGAAGTTCTCCGATGTTTTAGGGACTACATCAGGACGCAGTTCCATTACAATACGACCAATACCCTTGCCATTAGCGGCGATATCAAAGAAAACTCTTGGTCTGGACATATTTTCTCCGTGGTTCTGTGACTAACGCAAAAGTGCCGGCTTGCTAACCTAATTTATTTAAGCGCAAAGGATTGTGGGAAAGAAATTTCACTTCCGCCAAGACACGCCCTCTATGCGGAAGCAAAGTGAAAGCCGGGGAACTCAAGTGATAGGGAGAAGAATAAGGTATCACATTTAATCACAGTTTTAAACATTGTTCGTATCTTAACTAGGGGAACTCTCAGTAACTGAAATAATGATTATTCATAGAGTCAGATTTTTCAAACTTTCTATTCACATTTTTTGAAAAATTCAACATTTTATAATTTTTTTTTAATTTTACTTTTTCCCTGACATCTTGCATTTCAATGATTCTGGAGTTCATTAATAAAATGACAATCCACGTATAAGAAAAAAGTTAAGGGAATATCAAAGATTTTATTCTCTTATGGAATCCCGAATTTTCTCAATTTTAAGATGGGTGAGTCACAGCCCAGCCCCTTGTACATGTAGTCGTTAAAAATTAATTTATTGACCGTGCATGCAGATACCTCTGTTGTTTTAGTTAAGATCGGATTTGTCAAACCACACGTGACATTTGGTGCATCTACACTACACTCTGACATCAAATGATGTCAATTGCACCAAAAAGAAGCTTGAACAGTGCTGAAAGTAAATAAAGAACATTCCGTTTTCTATGTATCTTTGATATATCCATTAAATCAAGCTGAGTTAACTTTTTGTTGAACCTAGCTTTAACAAGTGATGCATTGTGGGTCCAGAGTAACTGCAGGAAAAACTCATCTGGATCATTGTGCAAAGTATGAATTTTCTCTTTGCCTAGGGGTTGCTTTAGGAGCTCAAAGTGATGAGCGGAGCTTCACACTGCTCGCTGTGCTTGCTGTTAGATCCTCGGGTGGATGTGACTGGTCAACAGGGTATGCTTATTTCTCCTAAGCACCCTATATTATCTCTTGAATATCCAGGGGTGTGTGGTTCTTTGCCCATCTTACACTCACAGATTTGTATTATTTTTAGTGAGCACAGTGAGCTAGCTCTCACGACAGTGCTTGGGCAAAGAGAAGATTTGGACTTATATACATTGATTCAAATGAATTTTTTTCAGTAACTTCTGGACCCACAATGCATTGCTTCTTTAAGCTTTATGTTCTCCCGAGAATAACAACAAAAATAAACTCGTTTTCATATAATTGCAGATAAAAAGTAAATAAAATTCTACATTTAAAGTTGGCACACTTCAGACTTCGGTTTGGTAATGCACTTTAAATACGTGGTCGTGTGACATCAGATGTCACATGTGGTTTGACAAGCCTGATCTAAATTAAAACTGAATAAGTATTTGGGCTGGCTCTTACGATTGCACCTACAACATACAGTGTATTAGATTTTTTAAAATTGATTAAAGCTTATCTTCACCCTGTTCATTCACCACAGAACTAAGGCGTGGGCTTTCACACCATTTTTTGCTTCCACAAGCTTTATATGAAAGCTTATGTGATACTGTTGACTGACACTAGTGTCTGCAATTTCAACTAAGGAATGACCAGGTTAATGTTTTTAGAGCAAGTTAAAGAAATTGGAGCAAGTTTAAGTTTTTGGAGCAGGTCTCATTTCCAATTAAGGTCAAGATCTAGTAAATGAATGGTGCCTACAGATTTATCAAATTTGAAAAATAAATTGCTTTAATGATGCTTTAGAACTTAAGCTTGGTCAAATAAGGTGTTTCTGATCATAATTTGTAGGAAAATGAGATGAAAAACCATATTTTAAACTCTCATTTCCTTTGAAAAATTAAGAAAAACAGTCATGAATATGGGAGTTTTTTCCATGTCTAGAACAATGCAGTTATGTGGGTTTTTTTTAATGGAATCATCCTCAGGAAGTGTAGATTCAAATTTGTTCAAATCATTCTCTGGGGGTAGGGTGGGGCCACATTGGAGGATGACGGTTAAATATATGAATAAATATAGGATTAAAAAAATCTTGAAAAAAATCTTCTCAAAAAGAGCAATGCCTTAATTGGTCATATTTATAAGGAAGCATCCTCAAATATTGTAAATTTACATTTCTTCAAACTCAATGACCCCGTGAATTGACTCTCCTAGGAAAAAAGTATCCATTTCAGCATGGAGGTGGGACAGGTTGTCTCTGTATACAAACGTGCATAAATAAAAGAACGATATTTATAGCTTTTAAAATTTATCAAATGTTATAGAAAGATAATAATAATGTTAAGCAATTGCATTTGATGAAAAGCTCAACTATGCATATTTACAAATCTACTATCAATTTTCGGAAATCGTAATAAATTTTCTTCTTTTCTAAAAAGTTAGTGTTTTTAAGTTATAAAAAGGAAAAGAATCAATATATCATTTAGATTCCCAACGTGCAATGACCAGATGCATGTGTATTGGGTCTTATTTCCATATTTTCTTTTTTGAAGCCTTTAACTGTGGTAGTTGTAGAGTGCATCAAATTGGTTCAAATTAATTTATGTGACCTGTTTGTTTACTTGGGTTGGGAGTAAGGGTTTTGCTAAAAAGTAGGAAATAAAAATTTTCAGTTAATTAACATGTGGTAGTTTAGAATCAAATTGAAATTAATTTAAATTAGTTAATTAATATTCTTCAAAAGTTTCTCATCAGCAAAGCCTTATGTTTGTCCTGATATTTTTATGAAGTATAATTTGGTAGTGTAGAATTAAGTTTGTTCAAATCTGTCAAGAACAGGCAGGGCACTGGAGAAAAATTTTAGTGAGACACAAATTCAGCTATTTGTCCTCAGAAATTGGTATTTTATTTTTAGCGAGATTTAATTTTAGTGATTTTAAAATGCTCACTAAAGAAGCTTTGACAAATAATAGACAAATAATTTTTAGCAATCTCAGCACCATAGCTAAATAATGCCAAAATTAAATCCTCGCTAAAAGTTCTACTTATATATATACAGTAGTTTTAGGCTACATTCATGGTTCAGAGTTTAACTATGGTGTTAATTTATGTGTTTCATATATGGTAAGAAGTCTTTTTACATGTTTAAAGAGTAGCAAGATCACTTAATCTAATAAACCTAAGTTATAAGGGTTTAATTATGAATGTTAGCATGGGTTTGGGTTGGACCAAAATGAGAGCATTAAGTTTAACAGTGCATTTATCATGGGAAAATATCTGAAAGCAACAGGTCCATTTTGATTCTATTGATATTGAAGCATCCCAATGTTGATTGCATTCAACTTTGATTTAGTAGATTGTAAAGCACAAGAGGGGTAGATTTTGAAGCATAAAATACCATTATATGAATTTAAATTATAATTTGGAGGAAAAAAATATACATCTGCTGATTAACACAGCAGGGCCAAAGTGATTCAGATGAGCATTATGGCCCATGGGCCTCTTGTTTTACCTTGAAACAAAAAAATATATCAATTTTTTTTACCACATCCATCTTCTTACCTGAGGATTTAGTAAACATACATTTTTTAAGCAAGGCCCCCTTGTGTTTTCTTACCTGAGGCCAGTAACATTAAGTGGAATGTCAATAAAGGTTTTTATTTACCAGTCAGGGTGATTAAATTGTGCTGAGAAAAGTGCAGGTAAATCTGATGGGGGCTGTGCCTTGATGGGTGTTTAATTGGGGGAGGATAATAATTACACTGACACTGGTGAAATATGTTACCTATCTCTGTACAGACTCTGCTAAATCTAGCAAGGTGTTGCCATGGATTTAGGGAGTTCAGACATATTACTAGTGTGATTTTTTGCTGCCATTGGTAAACTCTAGAGTGATCTGCTATTATGCTTGAAGTCAGTGGAAATTGGGAGCAAGTGTATTACATTATTAACCTGTGGCTTGTGTGTTGTTGTGTACTAGCAGACCCTGGAATGTGCTGGGAGAATGATTGCTCCTGAGATATATGTGGGCATCTTTTTAGATTGATCATTGAAGTGACTTGCACAGCAAATATTTTGGTGAATCATAATAGTAACAATCTCAGCAGTGGTTTATAGCACCGTTTTCTTATTGTTTTTGGTAACTGGATTAATTAGAGACAATCAAAATGATGTGTTGTTGTGCTATGTCTGATGATGACGATGATGTTGACTCTTTACAGACAAAACACCAGGACAACATTCCAGTAAATACACACAGCAAACAGGAGGTTACCTCATCATCAGCTACCAAGTCACAGCCAGAGGGATTTCATAACAATTTAAAACAGCCAGAAGAGAAAGTAAAAGTAGATCCTAGACAGGAAGTAGGTCAGCTAGAGGAAGTTCAGCTACAAAAGGAAGTATCCCCTCTACAGACTGTACCTGAACAAGGTGAAAATCTACAAGAACAGGAAGTGCAGACGGAGAAGGAAGAGTTCGGAATCATGTCTTCTACAGAGTTACAGTCAGCTGTCAATAGACTGGAGGCGGTGGCTACACGCCTGGAAACCCTGGCCCAGAAATCCTCTGTATCAGTGCCCAGTAAATCCTCCTCTGGGGGTGATGGAGGTAATGTATAAATATATAAACTCATCATGTAATTAATTATGTGGACAACAAAATAGTGATCAACTTACACGCTGTATTTAAAAATTTTAAAAGAAGGAAATGGTTTGCATTTTTTTTTAGATAATAAATTATTTTATAAAGGGTCTGTATTTCTAGAAAGCTATACGAATTAGCCAGGCATGTAGCATCGTCTTTAAACACTTCCTGGAAAAGTTGACAAGCGAAGAGAAACCTTGCCCAAAGTTGAAAAAGCACTTATTTCAGTACCAGTTCCTTGGCATACAATACTACATTTCCCTTATATAACTTTACCATAGTATAAACTGTGTGTGTGTGTGGGGGGGGGGGGGTGGCTTAATTTTTCAATAGAAAAAGTAATATTGGGAAAAAGTGTGGCTTCTGCAATGAAAATTTGGGTTGAACATAATATGAACTCAATAAAATTACTGTACATATATTTCTTCACAGATGTACATGTATGTCAGTTACTCTCTCTCTCTCTCTCTCTCTTTTACACACTTTAAAAAAATAAATAACACTTGGAAAAGAATGTTTTCTATTTGTTTAAAATATATTTTATTCAATATACATGTATATATGGATTGAAAATGCAGCTGGACATAAATGCCTATGATCACATGAGATTAAATTATTCATCCATTAAAAGTTTTAATACAGATTTATTTTACTATAAAAAATGATTATTCAAATGAAATAGGCCTTTAATTGTCACCAAATGTGTTCTTGTAAGTACATGTAAAAGTTCTATATTATGACATAAAATCAGCAAAAACGCAGTTTCTTGTATCGGTCGGAAGACGAACTACTGCTGTATATGCAGCAATGTCAGAGGTAATACTGTAGATGGACATGTCATCAGTCTCCAAAAAATTCCTAGAGATACAAAGAAAATATGGCTGCAGGGCTAGATTAATTCTTAAAAACTTTATAACTAAAAATTTGTTCCGCACATTTTGTAAATAATGATGATCCGTTGCAAACATCCACTACCGAAAATTAGCTTTTGTTTTTTTTTTAATAGGCCTATTCGAATATGTATCAATTTTATCAGTAATTTGTTTCGATTTTTTTTTTTTTTGTAAGGGGGGGGGGGGGGCACACAGCACCTTATTATAGTACTAACAGATTAATACAAATCCAGAAAGAGACTATGGCAATTAAAAAAAAATACCAGTTAAGATTTCTTTTTATTCACAAACACAATAACATTTTTCCATATGACAGAGGCATTACACCATGATTTTACATCAAGGTCCAAAGGTGCATCAAACACAGGTCATACATCCATACATTCTGTGTGTCTTAAACTTTAATTGTGAGCAATATCTCATGAAGCTTTTGAGATTTTGCACTTAAATCAAGGAAAATTTCTTGAAATATGGACATAACACATGATAAGTCATATTCATGTTATGGGGAGCATCCTCTGGTAGTGTAGATTCAGATTTATTCAAATCTTGACACTTGATCTCCCTTCCCATTTCCTTCCAGACTACATTTATAAAATTATTTAAACTTTGATAATGACTGATTTCGGATTTTTCATAGCTCAAGTGCTCAAGTGAGTAATGTGGCCCATGGGCCTTCTGCAGATATTGATTCTAGTATATTCTTTCTGTATATTAAAAAAAATGAGAAATAATAGTCATACGTTTTGCTCACCAGAACCAAAGCTCTGATGAAAGGGTGTCAATTAGCATTCATGATCTGTCAATTATCTGTCATCGGTAAACTTTTCATATTTTTAGCTTCATAAAGAACCATGGAACAATTTTAAGCTTACTGTGCTTGTTTTAAGGGGGAACAATAAAAAATTTGGGAAAAAATGCATATTTTAAAATTCTTAACAAGCATAGGACCAGAAAAGATGAGTCTAATGTGAAAGCTTCACTACATAATGTAGTTCAACTGTAGATTTAAAAATTTAAATGTGTTTGCATCACCCCCAGGCTAGGGAGGGACCACAATATGTCATCACATTTTTACATGACTGCAGCAAAACACAAGAATTACCAGGGTATTTATTGTTTTACATAAAATCTGTTTTGTACTATAAATATAAAATTTCAAATAATAGAGAACTATGAAGTGATTGTACACACAGACAGATGGACAAACACATATCATAAAGAGAACAATGCAGAACAAATTCAAAACAAAGATATGTGCTTTGGAAGACATTATAGATTTCAATGAGATGGGTGAAGACAGAAAGAATTTTAACTTTTTTTAAACAAGCTTGATAGCTTGTATGTTACACAGTATTTAAGGGTTTTGCTGAGTATGTATATTCTGAAAACAAATAATGTCTCACTTCCTGCATATAAATATAGTCATACTAGAGCAACTAGACACTAAGAAATCATATCCTTGAAGTTAGAAAAGGTGATAGGATCATCCGTTTATAGATAATAAAAGATTTGTTTGTTTTCTTGATAAGGAAGTGTAATCCAACTAAAGCTGTCATAAACTGTTGTGACTTCTTAGGAGTGACATTATTTAGATTATTCGTACATGTATATCCACACAATGTATATGAACATGAAGTTTACACATTCAATATAAACCCAAGATTTTCCTTTACAAAAAATTGTAACACTATAATGACTTTATTATGTAATCAGCTATGTCTTTTTACATGTACTTTACACAGCTATTTCAGAAGTTTGGGATCTCAGGTTGTGTAATTGATAAAGAGAGAGAGAGGGAGGGGGAGGGGCTATGATGTAATTCATCAATTTTTGGACTTTTTATATCATAATTTTTTTTATTATACTTTCATGTTAATTACTAAAATCTGATTGGTTTAGACGCAGTTAACAATAATTGATTACCCTTAGCCTTAGCAACACACGTGACACCGGGTAACACAACGGTAATGCCACATGCGTGGAAATTATGCGCCTACGGTTAACCGTAGAATTCTCAAAACGTCAGTTGCGCGTTTGAAATAACCGTATTTAACTTGGCGTCAATAAACGCTTGCGTCCGATATAGCTTACTTGAAAACAACAAACGACAGACGATACATGCTTGCGAGTGTAGGAAACATGCTTATATAAAAACACAAAACTTTATATGATAAATGACTCTAATTCGAGTATCAAACAAACAATTAGGAGATTAGTGAACCGGTAAGTGTGAAAGCTTTCTATACATGAACGTAAAGACGATCAACGGTTGTTATTTTTTTGCTGACGTCCTAAATCAATAATACATTTTAATAAAATAAATGGTGCGTTTTGGAGGGTAACATTTATTTTACATTTTTGTCAACCTCCGCTGACGCGTTATTGACAATGGTTTTCCTTGGGGTGTCAATTTCAAATGTTACCCTCCAAAACAGGCACCATTTATATAATGTTGATCACCTTATCAAAGTCAAGTTTATGCTATACAGCATAATTGATACATATTTGTAATAGTGTCTCTGGTATAAAATGAAATGTTAAGAGCAGGTTCCATTTCCCAGTCAATCCTTCTGCAACAAGCTTCCAGAAAGGAACATTCCTTTATAGTCCTGGATCTGAGTTTTTCTAGATGAATGACAGGGTTAAGGTTTTCAAAGACTTTCTTGACCAAACTTGCATGAATGAAGCATTTATATAAAAACACAAAATACTTGTTTTAACATTATATTTTAACATTATATAGTCATGTATATTGTTGACATTTTGTTTTTGATGTGTAAGCTTCTTTTTAATTTTTTTTCTTCATATTTTTAAGCTGAATACCCTGGTAACAATATAACCAAATGATCCATCTTAAGATTCATACACTTAGTATGGTTTGTCTAAGACATTGCATTTTTTAGCTCAAGTGAGCTTTTCTGATCACATTTTGTCCGTCGTCCGTCCGTCTGTAAACTTTTCACATTTTCAACTTCTCAAGAAACACTGGGCCAATTTTAACCAAACTTGCTACAAAGCTTCCTTTGGTGAAGGTGAGTTTAAATTGTTAAGATGAAGGGCTATGTCCTCAGGGACACAATAGGTATTAAAGGGGGAAATCTGGTAAAGAGCGGCAGCACCAAAGTTTCTCAGGTGAGCCACCTGGTCCATGTGCCTCTCGTTTGTTTGTTTAGTTTTTTTTTTGCATTTTCATAGATTTGCCAGGCCCTATTCTGTTGAAATCATCCTTAATATATTCTTATGTTTATGATATTGAATATTATTAAATATTTGAGAGTGTTGAATTTATACTTTTACTTTTAGGTGAAGTCACACCGAGTGTTAGTGCTTTCGATGAAATTATGAAAAGCAATGTTGACAAGTTTGTAGAACTTAGCAACAAAATCCAAGGCGATGTCAAGACAGCGGTGAGTACTGAATGAATTAGTGTAGAACTTAGTAACAAAATCCAAGGTGATGTCAAGACAGTGGTGAGTACGGAATGAATTAGTGTAGAAATTAGCAACAAAATACAAGGCGATGTCAAGACAGTGGTGAGTACGGAATGAATTAGTGTAGAACTTAGCAACAAAATCCAAGGCGATGTCAAGACAGCGGTGAGTACTGAATGAATTAGTGTAGAAATTAGCAACAAAATCCAAGGTGATGTCAAGACAGTGGTGAGTATGGAATGAATTAGTGTAGAACTTAGCAACAAAATACAAGGATGTCAAGACAGCGGTGAGTATGGAATGAATTAGTGTAGAAATTAGCAACAAAATCCAAGGTGATGTCAAGACAGTGGTGAGTACTGAATGAATTAGTGTAGAACTTAGCAACAAAATACAAGGCGATGTCAAGACAGCCGTGAGTACAAAATGAATTAGCGTAGAACTAGCAACAAAATCCAAGGCGATGTCAAGACAGCGGTGAGTACGGAATGAATTAGTGTAGAACTTAGCAACAAAATCCAAGGTGATGTCAAGACAGTGGTGAGTATGGAATGAATTAGTGTAGAACTTAGCAACAAAATCCAAGGCGATGTTAAGACAGTGGTGAGTACAAAATGAATTAGTGTAGAAATTAGCAACAAAATCCAAGGCGATGTCAAGACAGTGGTGAATATGGAATGAATTAGTGTAGAACTTAGCAACAAAATCCATGGCAATGTCAAGACAGTGGTGAGTATGGAATGAATTAAGGGTCAGGGGTCATTTAGGGCTCTTAAATTCTATAAGCTATCTGTATATAAATCATTAGTACTGAACAAACTAGTAGACTAGTATAATGTGTCATGTCACAATTAGATATTAGCTAAGAGAGCCAAAGCAAAAATCAAAGTACAGAATTATAAAACGTATTGCAGTACATGTAATGGGAGAAACCTACATGTATACTGTAGTTTAAGAATGTAATTCTTGATGAAAAAAAATTCTCTCCTATTTGTTAAAAGCTAAAGAACAACACAGAACTTTTTTCTGTCATTTGCTACAATTCAAACTTACTCTTTGGTAAAACAAGCTTTATTATTTTCCAGGGAGATATCGTCCAGAGAGGGTTTAAGAACCTGAGGGATTACATATATGTAGCCTCCAGAAGCAAAAAACCCAGCGAGGTAAGTCAGTCATGATATATATATATATAGGATCTCCCATGATTTGTAGTTGGATATGATCTTTATTTGAGTTGTGTGTTTTTTATCCCCGCGCCCAGGTGAGGGGATAAAAACACAACAAGTTGGATAAAAATCATATCCAACTTCAAATCATGGGAGATTTTATCCCATGTTTTATACAATACTATCAGTGTTTACACTGTTTTTATATACGACTTTACAAATGACACTTCATTTTACCTCATCCATCTGCATAACCCATTGTGACTTCACAACTGTGGGATATAAAAAAAATATCCAATGAGTTATATCCATGGGGGCATAGGATAAATAGGTGATGGTATGAAAAGAGTTTGTGTAAACATCAAGGAAATTCATCCCAAATGTATTTAGTGACAAAAATTTATTTTTACCCAATTCATTGGCAGAGCTATAAAAAACTTTTCTGAATTGAAATGAGACATTTCATAGGACAAAATATATTAATTTCCTTGTAAATTTATTAAAAAATTGCAAACCTATTAAAAGTATTTGCATTTCTTACACAAATTGTATATAATTATACAAAAATACTTGCAGATATATAGACTTAATTTGCATCTTTATATAAATTATTAAATTCCTGATTCTTTACAACATAAAATAATACTATCTTATACTGAAAGTTTCTAAACAAAATTTGAAAAAAAGCTTGTTTACTTACACTGTACTTTCACTTCTGTTTTATTTTCACCCCTTTTATCGGTACTTTAATCACAGGTGAGTGGATTTAAATTGGGGAAATTCAAGGAACACTGTATAATTTCTTAGACAAAACTGTGATAAAATGGAGCAAAATTGTTCTCAAGTGTGAAAGGAAAAAAAAATCACACTGGGTAAAAATAACCCAGTATGTTATGGAAATGACCATCAAGTCAATAATTCAGATGTTTAGTTGGTTGATGCAGAGATATGGAAAATAACTTTATATCTTTGTAACATTTGAAAATGTAATAGTCAAGCCTTTGATAACCCTCAAGTCTACAGTGCCCTTAAAGACAATTTATCAGCTATCGAAACAAAGTGTGGAGATCATGATAATCCCAGCATTACGGAAGCCCATTAGTGCCAACCTGTATATATAAAGGAAAAGCAATATATAAAAGCAAACCTCGATATATAAAGGAAATGCGATATATATAAACAAAACCTCGATATATATAAAGGAAATGCAATATATATAAACACAACTTCGATATATATAAAGGAAATGCGATATATATAAACAAAACCTCGATATATATATAAAGACAAATGCGATATATATAAAGAGAAATGCGAAATATATAAACAAAACTTCGATATATATAAAGAGAAAAATTTCCACTGCGTGACCTTTAACATGTTTAATTAATGACCTTCATAACAACAGAGACTTCGCCAACATACGATAAGCAGCTCCCGGTCTAATGTTTTGATTGCGATCAGTTGATGTGGCTGTTTCAGGATAGTATTCAGTGTGTTGTTTTCTTTATTTGTGTATCTTGGTAATTATGATGATTAAAACTAAAGCTAAAAAACTGCTGTTCTTCTTCATGTGCCAAAATTATGTTGATTCTTTGAAAAATTATGTACATTTATCTCTAAAATTAATAGTGTTGTCTGTGTCTGCTCCACTGTACATGTACATGTATACCAGGGTATATGTTTTTTTTATGTTTCTGTACCATGTGTACCATTTACAGTGTGTGAATGAATTAATCTTGAATTGATTTACATTTCAAAGACTTCAGAGACTTTTCTGCTTAAAATGTATATTAATGCTGGGGGTCTTTTCAATCGAACTATAATTCGGTGCAAACATACAAGTGTGTTTTATCATGCTTTATAAGTTTTTTAACGTTTTACTATGTTATGGAGAATTTCAAATCGATTTAATTTACGACGTGGGACAAAAATCCGCAGTTTAATTATGTGAGTGTGCATGCACTAATTCGTTTCTTTTAATTAATTCCAAAATACTTGATATTTTTTCCACACCATTAAAGACCCTAAAATTATTACAGTAAAATTTTACTTGTCACTTTCTTCCCTCACATTCAAATGAAGTGGGTACCTTCATCCTTCCCCTCTCTCCCATTCCGAACGATATTGATTCTTTTTTAACAATCAATGGGCATACTAGTTAATTATTTTCAAAATGAATTTAAATAAATTTGAATTAGGGCATCAAAAAAGAGACTTCCTGTTAAACATTATTATTTTCATAAATTCTCGGTCGTGAAACCGAAGGTAATACGCCTAAGTTTTTGTAAAACAGTAAACAAGATAGCTCTAGGTTGTAAAAACGAAGTTGATCATATACATGTAAAGCCAATAAATGCACAGAAAATACGATAAATGGTAATACGCCTAAGTTTTTGTAAAACAGTAAACAAGATAGCTCTAGGTTGTAAAAACGAAGTTGATCATATACATGTAAAGCCAATAAATGCACAGAAAATACGATAAATAGTATACTTATTTCATTAATATATATACTAATAATGAAATCAAAGGCGGATCCAGGACCAGCGCGCCGGGCGTGCGCCCCCCCCCCCCCCCCCAGTTTCAAATATTTGTATATATAATTTATAGGTCCATTATCCTAAATTCCGCACAGCCACCAGACCCCTCTGTCTTCTACTGCGCCCCCCCCCCCCCCCCCCCCCCGTTACGAAATTCCTGGATCCACCACTGTAAATGCTCTTCTTCTCAATTAATTGCATTAGTTTAAGTAATGTTACAATTACAGTTCATAGACATATGCATGTACAAACAAATAAACACTATTTCATAGCAACATTTTGCCGATTCTGGGAAAGTTATAAATGAGTACTGTATAACTGATTCCCCCCTGCCAGGAGTTAATCTGTACATAATCTTGATGGACAGTCGAGCGCTACAGGTCACGCAGTGGAATATTTTCTCTTTATATATATCGCACTTTTCTTTATATATATATCAAGGTTTTGTTTATATATTTCGCATTTCCTTTATATATTTATATCCAGGTTTTGTTTATATATATCGCATGTCCTTTATATATATCCCAGTTGTGTTTATATATATCGCATTTCCTTTATATATATCGAGGTTTTGTTTATATATATCGCATTTCCTTTATATATCGAGGTTTGCTTTTATATATTGCTTTTCCTTTATATATACAGGTTGGCACTAATGGGCTTCCGTACAGCATACCCAAAATGAAAGAAAAAACAAATTTTGTCTAGAATAAAACATTTGATATTTGGATACATATACATAATCAGTTCTTATTACTTCCTTTCAGCCTGTGATGGAAAAGCTGTTTGATCCAGTTAAGAAAAACATAGAAGAGGCAGTGGTAAGTAATGTTGCATATCTCCCAAGTTTCATGAAAATCCAATGTTTCAAGCTATTTTCAAGAAATTTTATGCAAAAGAAAAATAGTAAAAAAAAAATCCTAAGAATAACAAGTAGGTCTTCTTAATAAATTCTTCCAAGCTCTTCAGCTTACTGAAAAAGAGCTGAATTATTTAACAACGTAAACTGTCTTGATCTCTCGTGCAGATTTGTCATTATACCCCACGCAACTAGTTGCGTGAGGTATAATGTTTTTGACCCGTCCATCAGAGTGTCAGTCAGTCCTTTTTTTTTGTCAGCGCAACTCCTCATAAACCGCTGCACAGAATTTCGTCAAACTTTGCAGGTATTTAGGACACAATGTGTAGATGTGCATATTGCCAGGAAATTCCGATTCCATTATTTTTTCCGGGAAATTCCGCACTTTTTAACTTAGGCATTTGGCCATACCTTTTATATAGAGATGAACAGTTTGTCAGCACAATTCCTCATAAACCGCTGCACAGAATTTCGTCAAACTTTGCAGATATTTTGGACACAATATGTAGATGTGCATATTACCAGGAAATTCCGATTCCTTATTTTTTCCGGGAATTTCCGCACTAAAAACTTAGGTTTTTGGCCATACCTTTCACATAGAGATGAACAGTTTGTCAGCGCAACTCCTCATAAACCGCTGCACAGAATTTCATCAAACTTTGCAGGTATTTAGGACACAATGTGTAGATGTGCATATTACCAGGAAATTTCGAATCCATTATTTTTTCTGGGAATTTCCGCACTAAAGTCTTAGGTTTTTGGCCATACCTTTTATATAGAGATGAACAGTTTGTCAGCGCAGCTCCTCATAAACCGCTGCACAGAATTTTGTCAAACTTTGCAGGTATTAAGGACACAATGTGTAGATGTGCATATTACCAGGAAATCCCAATTCCATTATTTTTTCTGGGAATTTCCGCACTCAAAACTTAGGTTTTTGGCCATACCTTTTATATAGAGATGAACAGTTTGTCACCGCAACTCCTCATAAACCGCTGCACAGAATTTCGTCAAACTTTGCAGGTATTCAGGACATAATGTGTAGATGTGCATATTACCAGGAAATTCCGATTCCTTTATTTTTTCTGGGAATTTCCACACTATTCAACTTAGATTTTTGGGGATATCTTGAATATAGAGATGAACAGTTTGTCAGCGCAACTCCTCATAAACAGAATGCACAGAATTTCGTCAAACTTTGCAGATATTTAGGACACAATATGTAGATGTGCATATTACCAGAAAATTCCGATTCCTTATTTTTTCCGGGAAATTCCGCACTAAAAACTTAGATTTTTGGGGATATCTTGAATATAGAGATGAACAGTTTGTCAGCGCAACTCCTCATAAACCGCTGCACAGAATTTCGTCAAACTTTGCAGATATTTAGGACACAGTGTGTAGATGTGCAAATTACCAAGAAATTCCGATTCCTTTATTTTTCTGGGAATTTTGGCACTTTTCAAATTAGATTTTTGGCCATACCTTGAGTATACAGATGAACAGTTTGTCAGTGCGACCCCTCATAAACTGCTGCACAGAATTTCGTCAGACTTTGCAGATATTTAGGACACAATGTATAGATGTGCATTTTACCAGGAAATTCCGAATCCTTTATTTTTCTGGGAATTTCGGCACTTTACAACTTAGATTTTTGGGGATATCTTGAATATAGTGATGAACAGTTTGTCAGCGCAACTCCTCATAAACCGCTGCACAGAATTTCATCAAACTTTGCAGATATTTAGGACACAATGTGTAGATGTGCATATTACCGGAAAATTCCGATTCTTTCATTTTTTCCGGGATTTTCAGCACTTTGAGTTTTTGGGGAGCGTGGGGTATGTGAGCTTGCTCACTTTTTCTTTCATTCTTTCCTCTTTTAGACACCTCTGCAATTGACTCCCATCAATTTTTTTTTAAATAAAGTAACAAGTACATGTAGGATATTTTAAAAGATTACTTTTGGTTCTTAAGATCAACTTAGTATCTTCCTTAAAGGACAAAATAATGAATTAAAACAAACACACTATTTCAGTATTTCTTGTGTTTATTATTGTGATATATGCGAGCCAATGACAGGGTTGAGACAGGGTAGAGAGTGAAACACTTAGGCTTCCTTGATTGTGAACTTTTGATTATGTCTGGTTAATTTGAACACAGATATATTTAGACCAAAGAATAAAGCCTCAAACCTAAAATTGTGATCATTTGTTTCAAATCTTTTTTAAAGTTTGTTTTCAATACAAAATTAATGAACCTTTAAAGTTGTTTTTTATGTTTCTCCTTTTGAAATTTTAAACCATGCAGTGAAGGCCCACTGAAAATTTATTCAATTTTTTTTCAAGTCTGCAATAAATGTTCAAAGTGAAGTTTTGAACATGACTGTTTCTCAAATTTCAACTGTGCATGATTGAATCTACTATAACTCAGAAATTAATTATCAAGATGTATTCATACAATGGTACAGGATATTACATGTATGATCAGAAATGAAGGCTTTGGTTCAGATCTGTAACTAAAGAACTAATTATTCTGAATAATATTGTTAATACTTTGTTTCTAGCCTTTTTGATGATGGGAATCAACTTTACTCCAGCTAAACATATTACTTTAAGGAGGCTGAGGGGTCAACAAATTAATCAGATATTAATTAATAACTTAAATTCTTAGATATGATATTTTAAGCTGTCAATTATCATTTGACAAAGAAAAATTTCATACATTTTAGTTTTAAACATGTTAAAATTTGATCATTGTTGTATATCTTTATATGGAGCTCTCCTTTTAAAGGAGATCAAAATGGTCTGAAAATGGTCACAATCCCAAGCCCTTGCTCTTAAGGAAGGTCCATACTTTAACGGATCCGGTTTTAATTTTACACACCGATTATAAAATTCTAATTATCACTTGTCTGTCAAAATAAAATCTTTTTGGATGATTGAAAATAATTTAACAAGTATAATAGTATATAATTGTTTATTATAGTGTCATTGTGCATATAGGGTTTAATATATACATGTGTTATTTATGGAAATTAATACTTGCTCTATGTCCATAGGATCTATAGGTCATTTAGTACATGTACATATACATGTACTACATATACATAAACAAAATTCTTAATTGCCTTTCTGGACCTAATTCTTTTAATTTTTTTTAGGTCACCTGAGTAAACTCAGGTGACCTATTGCTATCTGTTTTCGTCCGTCGTCGTGCGTCGTTCGTCGTGCGTTAACATTTGAACATTTTCAGCTTCTTCTCTGCAACCACTGAACCAATTTCAACCAATGATTGTAATCAGCAATGAGTCCTCTACCAAAATTGTGAAATTCATGGCCCTGGGGTCAGGGGTTCTAGTGCTAGGGCGGGGCTAAATAAGTAGGTAGTGAAAATGCATTATTTCTTTGAAAATCTTCCTCTCTGCTCCTGGGTATTAAATAAACCAACTAAGTACCTAGTTATGATGAGCAAGAGTGCCTCTACCAAAGTTGTGAATTTTATGGCCCCAGGGTCAGGGGTTCTGGTGTTAGGGTGGGGCTCTATTGATTATATAGTGAAAATACATTAATTCTTTGAAAATCTTGTTCTCTGCTCCTGGGTATTAAATAAACTAACTAAGTACATAGTTATGATAAGCAAGAGTGCCTCTACCAAAATTGTGAATTTTATGGCCCCAGGGTCAGGGGTTCTTGTTTTAGGGTGGGGCTTTAATGATTATATAGTGAAATGTATGAATTCTTTGAACATCTTATCCTTTGCTCTTGGTTAATATGCTAATGATCTAATTACATATCTAAGGCCAGGATTTATTTTATTTTCAGTTTTACAAACCCTCCGCTCAAGGTTTTGAACTTTTAGAAAAAAATAAAACAATTTTTTTCTTTCCGATGTCAAATTTGAGTCGGGATCGAGATTTCAAATTTACGAACTCGCACTTCCGGTTTTTAGATGAAACGGCGGGTAAATAAAGCTAGATCCAAGAATTTAGCATGGTTTAGTGTAAAATTCATCGATAAGAGTGCCATTCAAAACGTTTCACCCATTCAAAGGACAAATAAAATGCTGACGACTTTGTTGCACAACGACATGCTGGTGAGATAATTATGTATTCGTTTCAAAAGTAACTGTAAATTATTTTCCTCCCCCAGGTTTTAAACTGCCCGTGGTAGCTATTGCATATTGCCAGGGACATTGTTTAGATCTCTGTTATAGCTTACAGTCTAAGCATCATTATTCAGAAAATGGTTGCTTGCATCAGATGTAATGAATAAAACTATGGGAGAAGTGAAGTCCATTTGAGGAAGAAATAAACAATAACCTGAAGTGAAGAAATAAAAAAAAAAAAATTCAACTATTAAAAGGCAAGAATATACAAATATATGTAGTATCATTTGTATCAGCCAGAAAAATTATTTTACACTTAATTGAAAAAATGTTGACCCTACTCCCCAATACTTCCTGTCTGTTTTATGATATGAATTATAATTTTAGGCATCAAGTAAATTTTAGAACAATGTCTACACATTCACCTAACACATATTAAGAAAATGAAGATGTATTGAAAGACTTTTAAAGAATTGATTTTTAAAAGTATATTTTGATCAACATCACAAAATTTATATAACTGGCCCAATTACTGGCAGATGATGAAATAACTTCAAATAAGCTATTAAATATTCTACTTTCCTATTTGTAAGCATTATTTGTCCAGTGGTAAGGAGCCTATTAGGATAGCATAAAAAAAGAATGTACAAATGTTAATAATTGATTTATCAAAAAAAATTATTTCCTTTTCCTTCGGGACTTTTTTATTCTCATGTTCATAACTAAACCTAAACATAAAAAAAAAAATGCTGGCCTTATAATGAAGAAAGGGTCCTCTTTCAAAATAGATAATTTCAGGGCTGCTGGGTCAGGGGTACCAAGGGGGTACTTTGACTAAAAATAAATTAATGCTTTGAAATCTGCTCTTTGATAAGCAATGGTGCCTCTTTCAAAATTCGTGAATTTCATGGCTTTTGGCTTAAAACACGAACCAAATACAATCGCTGGAAAGTTGTTACATGATACTCAGGTGACCTATAAGGCCCGTGGGCCTCTTGTTTTATAAACATACAAACTTGAGATCTATTTTTGATTGATTTTAAGCCTATGTTATATTTTTAAATTTTACTTTAAAAAAAAAAAAATTGCAAAGAATGAGTGAAAAACTTAATATTCCAGAAATGTGGGTATACGTGTTCAAAAGGCTGTTGTGTTAAATTGATCTGGTCAACCATAATAAAGTATGTGTTTTTATTAACCCTAGATATCATTCTTAATAGTTTTAAAATAGAAAAAATAGGCATATAAACAGTTTAGATTTTGAGAATTATTAAAAATAAAGATATTTTGAGATTTTTTTTTCTGAAGGACATGGACAGATTCAACATCAATTTATTAATGTTTTCCAGTAAAGATTTCACATATATTCTCTTTGCAAATGATCATTTTTGATTTTCATAACTTTTAACATAAATTTGATGTGATTTGGTTCATAGCTAAATAAAATATGATATCACACTTCTTTATGTTCAATTTTGGCTTATGAATTATTAGAGTTATGTACTCTGAGACATGTTTTATGAAAATTAATTTTAAAAATTGTCTAAATTATACTGCTTTCTCAGCAAAATATGTTCTCAACATTACATAGGAAATGTGGGTATTAATTTAACCAAAAGGAGTTAAACGTATTACCCTGAAGTCAAGGGCAAAATTATATTACTCCATCTGGCTGTGATAGTATGAATTGTGACTACAAACAACACATATATGGTTCAAAATGGACCCAAACCAACATAAATCTGTAATGAAACAAGGGGTGTGTGTGTGTTAAATGATGACTTATAAAGAAAATTTTAAAAATCTGCCATCAATATCACAGTCTTGTCATGCTGTTTCAAGAATAAACTAGGACAATAAAGTTAGGTGAATAGAGCGATTTTCTTTTAACATATCCTAATTTTAAAAAATTTAAATTTGGGAAGACTAAATGTTGCTGACTTTCTTTTTCAAGATAATTTAAATTGCTGACATATTAATGGGGGATATCAATCTGCCAAAATGATTCCAGTGAATCAAGTCTGCAGATGTTTGGCTTGCCTGACATGTTATAAGAGAGATAACTCCTGCTTGGTTCCCTCCTTAAATGATTCTTTAAAAAAACATGATATTATTTAATTAAAAGAAAATTTGTTCCAGGATGAGAGGATACAAAAATTCTTTTGTCAGTTGGTGGTGGAGATGAATTGTTTTGTCCCACCCTCAAGTAACGTTTGAAGAAACTGCAAGTTTTAATATTTTGTATGCGAGGAATTTTGCATGTAGCTTATAGAGCTCTCAGATTTCTATTCTGTGACGTGAAATCGGGATCTGACATATGTTTTTACTAATTTTGCCACCATGTCTGGCATTCTTGTAAAGCCTCAGTTAAGATTTTGTATGGAGTCCTTAAATTGAAAAAGAAATGAAATTTTAGTTATGGAATGGCAATTCAGCAGACTGAAAGTCAGGCTGGTCATAGGAATGTGTTTGTGGTAAACAATTGTCAAGTGTGCAGGGCCCATCACATGTAAACATTGCATAATGGAGATGCAAAGACATTACACATGATTAGCTCATTATCGTCAAGGCATTCTAATGATCTCGTCTTCTTGTTTTTTATTCCGCTGGACCAATTATGTAAAGTAATTTACTTTGGCAGACATCTTTTAATGTACAGGGTACATTTACATTTATAATTAAAATGATAATGATGTTCATTATTAAACATCTGGAAAGGGTGGTAGGCTTTATAGTCTATTTTCAATATTCAATTGTCTAAACTATTTGTCCAAAGTATTGTCAGGGATCTTTTTTGTTTGGATAAATAGAAATCGTTGATCTTTTTGTCAAATACAAATTATTATTTTTTTAGTATTTAGAACCTGACCATTCAATAAAGTCAAGGCAAAAATCACTAAACTTTTGTTTGATTAAGAATTGATTGAATTATCGTAGTAATTCTATAAAAACAAACCATGAATGAAGAAAGAAATTTGGATAAGTAACATTAGCACTGATTTATGGTAATTAAGGAGGAATGCATTCATCAGGTGATTACTCCCCCAAGCTTCTCATTTTTGTTCAAAAGAAATCATCTTTATTGAATTAACAGTTTTTTAGGAGTTGTTTAATTGTGCATGTAAGAGAACAATGGGGGTTAATGCTTAGCATCCACCGTGTCGGCTCGCATGCTGGTGGCACGTGGCAATTGCAGGCCGCCATGACCATAAGACACCTGCAGATGTTGTACAGGTCGCGAATTAAAAGTTGAATTCAGAGCAAAAAGGCCAGGAAAATAAAGCTCTAAAAAATGTGAGCACTTTAGATTTGAGTTTCTTAACAAAACCGTATCAAACCAATCTGAAGTCGCCGAAACAATGTTCAGTGTCAGAAGCGGGGATACATGATCCCATGTTATGTACAGAGTTTGGCAGACAACTGACAATTTTTTTTCATGAATTTATCTGTTCAAAATCTTGAAAGTAGCAAGAAGTTTATTTAAAAGTGAGAAATGTTTTCAACTTGATGATGTATCTGGATTAAGGGAAGCAGTTGAACTTTTAACACCCTCACTATATCAGTTTGAGCTGAATAAATCAATCTAAAGTAAAAAAGATAAAAACCAAGAATTTGAATTGCTGCGATCGATCAAACCAAATTGATGGCCACTGGTCTTGCTGAAAATTAATCACTTTTAAAACCCAAACACAGGGCTAAGATTCCCTGCTAATTTTAAACACCTGTAAATCTCTTACTATATCCTGCTGGGCGAAGAAAAGTTAAAATCCACAAAATGTGTATTTTGTCTCTTTTGTTATGAGCTCTGCAGTTAATGTGCATCAGATATAGATGAAAGAAGCAAGGCCTAAGATGGATAACTCCTGTTACATATCCCAAATTTTTAACATTTTTATTTTTTATTTTTTTAGACATTTAAAGATAACAACCGCCCAAGCAAGCAGTTCAATCACTTGTCGGCCATTGCTGAGTCACTCCCTGCCCTTTGCTGGGTCCGAGTGGTGAGTACTTTAAAGTTTGAGTGGTGGATCTAATTGTTTTTATGTTTTTATGTGTATAATGTGAGTATATATTTTGTTCCATTTTGGAGATACATTTAAAAAAAGGAGGAATATAGAAATATGACATCACAATGATGTGTTCAATTAAATTATGGCATTCAACAAAGGTTTTGTTTTCTGTATCTTTACTTGATTGTGCAAGCTATGAATGACTCATAGATTAACATGGCATTATACAACTGAATTCTGTTTTCCATTTGACAGTCCCCAACTCCAGGTCCCTATGTCAAAGACATGCAGGAGGCTGGGCAGTTCTATACAAACCGTGTTCTTAAGGAATTCAAGGATAAGTATGTGGTTTGGGATATGTTGTCCCCTTCACATTTATAAAATCTTTTTAATCACAGCTTCTCTAGGGTGCGTTAGCAATAATTAAGTCATAAAATTCAAAAGTAATTATTGATCACCTTGATAACGGTAAGTATTACATGCATGTCAAATATTTCTCATTAATTACAAAACGTCGTTCTTTTTCTGCACAATCATAGTAAGGCAATTGCACAAACTTCTGAACTCAATGACTGAATAAAGATATCTGATTCAATGAATCAGTGAACTGGGGGAGTTTGTACAAGACATGCTATTTGCACCAAATACTATCTTAGAGTAGAAACACATTTAAGTTAAATAAACTATAACTGAAACCGAGATTTTTCTAATTTAATCAACTTGAAGACACCATCTTTAATAATTGTTGTTCGAAATCAAGAGAATTGCCAGTGAACTATGAACGAGTTTTCAAAACATATATTTTCAGAAAAAAATATTTATAAATCCTTAAAGCTTTCTTACATTTCATTTACCAGGATGTTCCTTTGTGACAAGGTCATCTCTGGGTATCAACATTTTTTAACTCTTCACTTACTAAGAGTTTGACCTACATCGGAAAAACTTTAATCTTGTTATTGGACTGTCATTTTGGGGCATCAGTGTGTCACAAACACATCTTGTTTATCATTAGAAGAAATATGATACAGGTTAGCAAAGTGGTCCATTAACCTCATATTTTAATTATATAATTACATGTTACCTGTAAGGGGTACACATGGATGCTTGTTTTCAAGGTTAACCAAGAAATCACAGAATAATATGCCTCAAAAAATCTGTCAAATAAAGAAGCAGGGGAGATGAATTTTCTGGCTGGCTCTCATTGGCAGGCCAAAATGATGTGTTTACCGAAGCTCCATGTTAAACTTAAATCCTATGGTTCAGTAAGAAGACAGAATTTACAGCTCATCTTTGTTTCATCATCTTTGAAGATTGAGTAGGGGAGAAAAATGAAGTTTGGTATGGCTAAGTCTTCTAGAATTGCAGCCTGCAATTTGTCCTGTCAGTGCAATGTCTTGCTTATCCCATATTGTATCTTTATTTTAAAAGAGAAATTCACAAATTTAAGGGTTGGGTGGAGAAATTAAATTTCACTTTTTTTTTCATATTGAGCTCATGTAAATATTGTTTATAAAGATATTTCCGTTCTAGCTAATGGAATTCATGATTTTCTTGTGACGCACTGTCTATCTTGGTTTTTCAAATTGAAAAATATTAATGGAAAAGGTCAGGTAATTAGCAAGGGCAACTAACTGAGTTAATGGATTTTGATGTACATTAAAAATAAAAACCCTCAATCTCTTTGATATTTTTAACTTAGTTTAAAAAATAAAAACTAATGTTAAGTACTCTAATTAACTATACATCAACTTGCTCTATTGACCTCTTAACTATTTTTATCTTCGGGGTATAACATTTGAAATCTGCGTCAAATATATTTCAGGAGGCATTTTAATGCCGTACTTTAGTCGAAGTTTAAGAATGCATCTGTTGCTGCATTATAATGTTTCAAACAAGTGGTACACAATGAGGGAAATTAGGATTTTAGAGATGCGTACATCTTTTATACAGGGATCTGAATTGGTAGACACTTTGTAAAAACAAGCTATAAAAATTTCCATTTTCTGAACTTAGGCGTTTGAAATGCAAAATGCAATAACTGCCTAGGAAATTTTCAAAACATTAGACAAAACATCCACTAAGGGTTCAATCAAAAATTCTTTTTACAAGTAAAGTGATACAGTGTTTTAAAAGAATAAAAGTTGATAAAAACAAAAAGAGTGGGAAAAAAGTCCATTTTATAAGAAATTCACAGTTGTAGAAGTTCAATTTTAATCAATTTTAGAATTCAATCAATTGATAAATTTCCATGGTGTTAAAGCCTCATATCCAGCTATTCATGTGATCTACAATAGTTTTTCAATTTTTCACATTTTCATTCCTTTGACAGCATCAAAAAATCCTTTGTGATTGTTTTCTAAGGGTTCAATCAAATATTCTTTTTACAAGGAAAGTGATACAGTGTTTTAAAAGAATAAAAGTTGGTAAAAACAAAAAGAGTGGGAAAAAAGTCCATTTTATTAGAAATTCACAGTTGTAGAAGTTCAATTTTAATAATTTTTAGAATTCAATCAATTGATAAATTTCCATGTTGTTAAAGCCTCATATCCAGCTATTCATGTGATCTACAATAGTTTTTCAATTTTTCACATTTTCATTCCTTTGACAGCATCATTAATTTCTCTTCAGAAAATAGCATAATTTCTTTGTGATTGTTTTCTTTTTTTCTTTTGTGGCAATTCAAATGTTCCACCTACATGAAATTTGTAGAAATCTATTTGGCAAAAACACATCCCTAAGTAAAGTTCACAGGCGGTATGAGAAAAACATGCTATTTATGCATGTTTTATTTAAATTTCTGTGAAATATGTCAAACAATATTATTTTAAAAAGTTGAAGGGAAACAAATGTATTTTACAGATAAGTGCCAAGTTATGTGTTGTTGTGTGTTTTCCTGGTATTTTGCGTAGAAGAAAGAATTGAATTTTTAGACCATGTGATTATATGACAGACATTTGGGCTAAATATATAAATGCTATAATATTTAAGGATTTTTCTGCCTGAGAATAGCTTTTGGCAGATTTTTTCATGGGTGTAATATATAGCTTAATATAAAAGTAAATTAAAGGAAACATCACTGGTTCTTTAGAGAGAAAAGTTTTTTGAGTCCTAATGTATTTTAAATAAAGATTTTTGGAAAGGATGTTTCAACATTTGAATTTGATCTAGCTTAAGTATTTGACATCAGTCGTTCTAAATCATCACCCCATTGCCACCCCACCCACCCCCAGTCAATTCTATTCAACTTATGAGTAGGTAATTCAAGTTTCAATTGTTACGTTGGGCATGGATTTTTAGAGAATTTTCTTCATTTGTTTAAGTGTTCCAATTTTCTTTTAATTGAAATATTCTAGAGATTAAAGCATGCTTTATCACAAGTACTATCATTACTTTCATGAAGTTTAAAGTATTAGATTAATAAAGTAAATGATTACCTCAGAAAATCAACATAGTGAGTGTCGCGTGACCTGACCCTTTAATTGACCTGATATGACCCGTGACCTCATCCTATTGGTCTCACTCAGATCAAATCACCATGTTGAATTTATGAGAAGGAAATACCATGTAATATTGAAAATAAACAATTGGGTAAAACAATTCTTTTTTACAAGTGTTTTGTTTTTTTTCAGGGATCAGACTCATGTAGACTGGGTGAAGACCTGGAATGACACTTTGAATAAGACCATGGCATACATCAAGGAGTTCCACACCACGGGGCTGAGCTGGAACCCACAGGTAGGTCTGTCAGGGAAAGAAACTTACAGCGAGTACAAGTGTACATCATGACATATACAAATGTGTACATCATACAAGTTTGTACATCATACAAAAGGTACATCATCAGGTGTAAATCATACAAGTGTACTGTCACAAGTTAGTGAGTATCAAGAGTTACCAGTATAGTGTCTAATAGCCCCTCTGTTACATTCCACAAAATATACCTGTTATGAGATCAACTTTTTTCCACTTGTCAACTAAGCAAGAGACAATTAATACAAGGAATTTAATCACCAGTAAAAGATGTCTTTACATGAGATCTTTTATGATTACATAATTATAACAAAGAGAGGAATTGTTCAAAAAGGGACAATTACTATGCAAATAATTTGTAATAAATGTTCAATTTTTATTCAATCACAGAAAGGGAATGATCTCGTATGCTGCAATGTTGAACTTCATATATTTTGAACAAAGAATGCTTTTTGAGAGCTTTGTTCCATGTTTCATAGAAGTTTCTGAGAAAGAATTAGCAGTCCTATAGAACCTGTAAAACTCACTCACTACTTAAAGCCATTTCAAAGAGATAATACTTTTTAACCTCAATTTCCCCTTTTATTTTTTTAAAATATTTTAAGTGCCAGTAATGAAAGTAAATCTAGACAAATTGATGCTCACTTTTGTATTTAAGTGTTTCCATGAGCATTTAATGTTTTGACTCCGACTCGGAACATGCTGTATGTGTGGCACCACTACAAAATGTTTTTTAAGCTGTAGTGAAAAAATGAACAAGATTAAAACAGATAAGTCGGGCTTCTTTTCCTAACCTCAAATCATCACTGAAATGCAAAACCCCCGAATTCTGATAGCTGATGTGTATTTGTAAAAGGCTAACCTAGAATTACAATAGCTGGTGGAGGAATTAGAGGAATCTTGTGCTATGTTTCTGCAGTGTTTTTGGACATTGGGTCTTGTTTTTCCTTCGATCACCTTCTCATCTACTTGACATTCCGATTCTGGCCATGTTTACACCTAGCTGTGTGTTCAACACAATTAATAACGATTCATTGAGTCTTTCTGTTTATTTAACAAGATGTGTGTGGCTTTTTCTTCAGCTTCTCTCCCAGTGTATACAGAACCATCTTTCTTCTCCAATATAACCCTCTTATGGGTAACCAGCTCCTGCTAGCTACATTATTAGATTTTTTTTAATTTAAAGTAAACTTTGAAATTCAAGTGATGTTCATAAATTTTGTATCTGGTGAACTTAGCATTAAGAGTGTAGCATTCCTCTTTATATAGACAAACAGTTTGTTTACTTCTTCAGAATTAGTCTTCATGATATGAAAAGAAGCACACTTCTTAAAACTTTTTTCTCCTCTTCTGCTGAAAACAGATTTTTTGAAGACTTTAAATTGGTTAGAATTGATGGTAGAGGTTTAATAGTGATGGTGAAATGATGAAATTAATTAATTAACAGGGTAAACAGAAAGTGTTTAAATGATAATTATAACAAAGCAGATTGGGAGTAGAGAGATTCGGCAAGGCCACACAATAATTTCTTAAAATCTGCCCGCATCTTCTCCTCCCAAACTCCGAGATTTAATGGTGGCTTAAAATACACCCTCTCTGTCTGTTTTCTATTGAAAATCAAAGGCGTAAGGTTTTTATTGCAAATGAAATCAGCTGTTAAAAGAGATTGTGTTTTATACAAGAAATTCATTTTAAAAAATCTACTTTTCAAGTAAAATTTAGGACACAAGCATTATAACTATTAAATCATTGCCAGAATAAAGGAATTTTGGCATTGTTCTTGCAGTTTTGAAGCATGATTTCAATGATTTTAAGTGAAACAATGCAGTAAAAAGTACAAATTAATGTGATAGGAAAACATCTATGATGTATCATTCCAAGGAAATCTTAATTATTTTATATCAAATGTGTGGGAAAATCGTATGACATTTGTTAAATTTTGTCTTATTTTTAGTGCAAAGAAATTTTATGATTCAGTATTTATTAAGGGACAGGAAGTAGATACACATGCAAAATATTTTGATCATTTTTAGCCTCTCGTAAAGCAATCTTCTAAAGGCTTTCATACGTCAGATTTTGTGTTGGAATCATCAGCTATTTTCAAACATTTCTTTTTCTGCGGAGTGACAGTTTAACCTTAACAGAAGCAATCAAACAAATCGCTTACTGAATCTGTTCAGTTTGAACATTTTCCTAAACTCTTGTTGCAGTCTTTCAAAAAGATGGTGCCACCTCAAATGATCTTGGAAGCGCTTGTTGAAAGAACTCTCCAATTTGATTTTAATTCCTTACACACCTGGATTATGCTTCTTCAATCCCCTTTAAAACATTTCCATGCCTGCTGAAGCATGGAGGTAATTTCATTTCCATGTTTACCAACTCTTGTGCTTTATCAGAAATAAATCTCAATTTCTGAAGAAAAAATGGGAGGGAAAAAAGTTGATGAATTGGAGATTCTTAGCACATACATGTCAATTGTTTCATCAGACTTAAGAAGAAAGATTCATCTTGTATTTCAATGAATTAGAGGAAGGTTTTGAAACTATATGGAACATTAATCAAGTACATGTATAGATTTTTAGGATGCAAATTATCACATGTTCATTAGATGGTTATGTATAAAGGAAAATAAATATTGACGATTATTTTCACAATTTACACACACAGTGTCTCAATTTGCATCAGATTATATATCTTCATATAAAGTGAACCCAAATGTGTATTTTAACATTGAGAAAGAAAGGTAGACTAGGAGAGAGAATTATTACACTATATTGAATCACAATTCTTCCAAGAAATCTGGAGTCCCTATGAATATAATACATAATATATAGGTTATAAAGGTCTCGCTGAACCATGTTATAACTCCCATATGTTACCCAGGTGGAAATAGAGCATATAATTAAAGCAGTATAGAACCTTATGCTCTAACAGGTTGCTGCTTGTATAGGAAGTTTGCCTGGTCAACAAAATTAACAAATTCAAAAGAAAAAAAGCCCTGAGAAACAGAGATCAAATATGATATGTTTTGATTATATAATACATTTTATTTCAATGTCTGTCATTGTTTGGAAAATGCAACAAGAATGCTTATTTTTTTCCACTGGTTCATGTATAAAACATATTTTGGTAATGCAGTGATGTTTAATTTTTTTTTCCTTGTGAGAAATGAGAACAGTAACATATTTTCAGTTTGATTTTGCCACTGTCAAGGTTCTAAGGTCTAAGTTCAGACAGCTCAAAGACTTTTATGGGGCATACTTAGGAAACCTTAGTATTCAGTTCAAGAAAAAAAATTAAAATGGCTGTTTGTACTAATTGCCAAGATACTTACTTCTTACGACTTTTATTTCCGTAGGAGAAAATTTCTTCACACATGAAAATCCTTGGAGTTTTTGATCATTGTGAAAAGCCAGGTGTTACATTCATAAATAGATTTAAGGATAATCTGCTGATGACGGACATTAAATAGTGAGTAAAAACTAAGCCTGATGACGAAAAAGAAAAGAAATTTCTTTTGTAAAAAGGAGGGAGATTATAAAAATAATTGCTGATGAAATTCACTTCTGTGTAGTTATAATAGTTTTGGTTTCTGTTCTCTTTTTTTTGATGTCTTGCGAAGACGCAACAAAAAACGTCATTGTAAGAAAATATCGTCATTGTAAGAGTTATATTCATTGTAACAAACATCTAAATAACTTGGCAAAAAGATTTTCCAAGTTGTGCAGGGGAAAGAAAATGGACTTCTTGTATGCATGTTCATACTATGTGCAGTCTATAGGTCAGGGAACTTGGCTCGTCAAGCATCTTGTCATCAATGCAGAAATAGTTCCTGTTTATTTCAATATCCGTACTTACCTGCATCAACTATTTGCAGTTCCTTTTCACCTTCTCACTCAGCTACTAAGTATTTATAGGCTATCTCCTCCACTTAACTTCAAAGTCTCTAACCTTTTCAATAAAGTTTGTAGAAATCTATATTTCTTAAATTTTTATTATACCTTTACTTATCCCAAAAGTTCATAATTTCCTCTGACCTTAGAAAGTAAGTTAGATCAATTTCACACACTGCAGTGCACAGATCAAGTTATGGAAAGGTGCATGTTCTCAAGTTTCTTGCACTCTCGCTCCTCTCTCTCTCTCTCTCTCTCTCTCTCTCTCTCTCTCTCTCTCTCTCTCTCTCTCTCTCTCTCTCTCTCGACAATGGCACTTTCTAAATACATGAAGACAATGCAGAGGCTACATGTATAGGTAACAGGCAGATCTTACCATCAGAGAATTATAGAGTAGCATTTCTGTGGCTGCGATTTTTGTAGAGTAAATAATTGGTGAGATATCTTTAGGTTCCCTGGGAAGTCGACTGATAATCTGACCGGGAGCACTGATTGACTAAGACAAGGAGTAAAGCGTGTTAGCTCTGATCCCCCGATCAACAACAATATCTCACCCAATCTCACTGTTATAGTAGAGATAAAGAATTAGCTCCTGAAATCTGGTCTATGACACAAAACTCCATACTCCCATGGTGTCTCTCTCTGTTACCTAGGAATAACAATGAAAGGATTGGTCAAAGACCTGTAGATATCTGGTAGTTTGTACCTGCAGAAAGAATATTTTTAGATTTGCTATGTGCATGGTGAGCATTGGAAGGTGACGTATAAACCATTAGCTTAGCATAGGGAGAGAAAACCTTGAGTGCCGATTAGGATCAAAGTCTAGGGGTGTAGAAAATGGAGAAAAAATTAGCAAGTTATCAAAACATGACTGCATATTCACCTGTTATTCTTCAAACATGCATTTGCAAGAAATATTCTAAAATGTCAAGTAGCTCTTGTTGAAGATGCACATAGCATTAAAAGCAGGCTTTGAAAACGGAGGTATTGCTTTTGTAAGTGGCCTAGCTGGCTTTCTGAAATCTAATCCTCTATATTAAAAGCATGAGGTATATGAATTTCTTTTGCTCAGTTAGATATGTATACTGAAGT